TCTTTTTTTTTGGAACCAAAATAATCAAAGAACCATTTCTAAAAAAAGTTTTGATTTGTTTCTAGAAGCATTTCTTACACAGGTGTTGCTCAAATAAAACCCATTTGATTCAAGAGTATTTGTTTTCTGACAATAGAATAAACTTTAAAATTTGAATAAACAGCTACAATTCAATAATGGGGTAGGAAAGTAAATTTTAGGAGAATGGGGTGTCTCAGCTCATTTAGGCATTTTTGATTTTCATTACAAAAATGTTTTTTTATTCAAGAGTATTTTTTTCTAAAAAAGTAGAAATGGAAAGTTGGAATTATACTAAAAAAGTTGGAATTATGCTAAAAAAAAAGGTCACAAATAGGGTAAAAGGTAAAATTAAGGAGAAACCCATTTAAGCATCTTAGATTGAAAAAAAAAAGACTAAACTTCAAATACTTTAAACAAAATTTAAACATTATTAAAAATACTTTATTACAAATTAAAAATGGAACACAATCCGTTAAAGTTTGAAAAATTCTTCCTGCTCTAGAGAAGTATGTTAAGGTTAAAATGTAAAAAAATGGTAAAATGTAAAAAAATGATAAAATTTAAAATTTAATGCTAAATTAAATTCTTCTTTTATTTAAACTACTCTTTATGTCAGTTTAGAATTTAAAAAAATATATAGAAAATATACAATCTCCACACTGTTCACACTCTCTCTAACCTGATTGCAGGGGCGGAGTCAGCAATTTTTGGTCTATGAGATAGCTAACTTCCAGACATGGAGCAAACTCTAAACATTTATATGTTAATACTTATGTCAAATGAGGGTGTTTTGCGAAAAATTGCAATGATTGGAGCTTGGGATCAAAAAAGCCCCAAAAGTTTGACCCCCCCTGCCCCAAACGTGAAAGCAACAAGTTGATGAAATATTTTTTTATCATTTTCGACTAGAATTATATTCATCGTTAAATTTTAAATTTCGTAGTAAAATATTCAACGTTTAAAAATAATGGCCATATAAAGTTTAAACCCTCCTCAATTTGAGTGGGCTACAAATTTTATATTGTCGTAATTTTTGAACGCTGAGAAATAATCCTATGCAGGGCCGGCGCGAGTAGGTGTCACGTGGGGGAGTACCATTACAACTTTTGCCGACTTAAAAAAAAAAAAATAAAAGGTCCTCGGTTTCCAAAATTTGCCGACTGTCATGACGACATTTGCCGACTATCTAACCTATATCGAAAGGGTCGACATTTTCCTACTAACTAGTCTAAAATAGTCCAATTTGCCGACTAAGGGCCCAGTTTGCCGACTAAAATTCATTAATGGGGGGGGGGGGGGGTGTCACACCCCCCTATCGCGCCGGCCTTGATCCTATGAAACTTAAAATTTTTCGATGAGTATAAGGTCAATTAAAAAATAATACAAAAAATATTTCATCAACTTATTGTTCTCACGTTTGGGGCAGGGGGAGTCAAAATTTGAGGGCTTTTTTGTGAAGCATGAACAGAAATTATGAAGCAAGAACGGATATAAAACAGTGCAAGTTGTAATTTTCACTGAGCTGATATTGATCCTAATTTTTAAATAAATCTACAACAAGAAGCAACAGAGATAAATCTATTCAAATATATAACTCTTGGGCTGCATAAAAAAAAATAATTCAATGTGATCGCATAACCAAACAACAATGTTTATATGGACATTATTAAATGCTGCTGGAGGTAATCTTGATGATTTAGACATATTAAACTCTACAAATCTGTGAACAAGAATGTTTAATTATCAAATGATAGAACAAAGTTTCATGGAAATAGTGAAACAGAATCCTCTCCAATATGAGGCTTTGCATTATGATGGTAAGTTTTTAAAGGATTTATTGGGAAAAACATATAAATGATTTATAAGTTTTTTTTTTGGAATACAACAAAGAGAAACTATTAGATGTTCCTTATTTAGCTAATTTGCAAGGAGCAATTTAGGATTTGTCAGACAAGTTTGTAGTTCTAATATTTAATACAAAAGTCAGCATTTGCGGTAGATACAAAGGATCTGCTAAATTAATGGAAACATATCTAGAAAGAAAATTGCTCTAACTAGCTTGTCATTATTGCATTTTAGAACTTGTTATTGGTGCAAACTAGAAATTATTTTTTGGTGACATTTCAGGCCCGGAAAACAAACAAAAAATGAAAATAAGCTCTTTGCAAAGTTAAGGATGTATTGTCAAACATCAATCAATACAAGTACTGAAAACTGAAAACAAATTGTTGTTAATAATAAAACACAAAGTTGTCACATAAATCATAGAAATGTTATCTTACAATATTACAGCAACTTTTGTAAGAGATGAATCTCCAAAAAACTCTCTGATAATATAGGTGAAATTTTCTCAAGTGATGCTCACTTTCTCAAATTAGTCACGTTAGATGGCAACATTTATGGTAGGAAAATGCTTTTTTAACTATTAAGGTATGATAATGACATGGTTACTAAACGTATGCACATGAATGTATGATGGCTCATTTTTACACCTCTGCATGGATGAAAATATTATGGGAAGCAGATGCACCGATAAAGAATTTCCAGTTTATTCATAACATGATTTTAGAAGTGCTCAGAAAGATATTGCTGACGTTGTTGTTAACAAGCTCCATAATAATATTTTGGTACTTGTGAGAAGAAGTTGTCAAGTTTGCCTTGTTAAGAAAAATGCTTTGATGACGCATGCACTAAAGAAAGAAATGACGGACCAATTGCCTTTGACTCCAATTCCAGAAAACTTTCATTTTAACAAGCCAACCTTTAAAATTTTTTTTTGAGAAACAACTTTGACATGTTTGATTGGGCATGATTCTTATTTATTGTTCCAAATATAATAAGTAATCACTAGATGGCTTTTAAACCAGTTGATAAAGTTTTCAATGATAGAATGTAGCGTGGATTTAATTTAAATTCCAATTTTGCTACACTCATTACACTGATATAAAAAAAAGAGTTGTTGTACAGTGGCAAGCTTTATTTTTGTTTCGATTAAAAATAAGTTTGTCAAACTGTAGTGTAGAACAAAGTACTATTTGAGTATTTTGAATATAGACACGAGCAGCCGTAGAGCAGTGGAAGCGCACTTGCCTCAGAAATAAAGGATCCGTGGTTCAAACTCCACCTCTAGGCAAAGTTTTGCAACATCGGTTTGGAAGGAGGCGTGAACTCCCGATTAATTGCACATCTGAGGTGCTCTGTCATAAGACCGTAAGGATCTCTTGGGGCACCTAAATAAAATTTAAAAAATAATCAAAAAACCAAAGTAAAGGAGATAATGTATTATTAGATATTATAGTGTATTATAGTATAATTATAAAAATAAAATATAATAAAAACAAAAGGAAATATAGAAATACACTTACTATAAAGGTGAAATAAACCGTACTATAAAAAAAATGAACAAAAAATTGAAATTACAAAATATACTAAAAACGATAAAAAATGAACATTATCTAAATCAGTCGATGTATGTACACTGCGATGCTCCTATCCTATATTTCCCAATTTGCATATTCCCTAAAAATCCCGGTTTTCGGATGTAAAGGATACTCAACGTTGGAATAAGGGTTTGAAAAGTGAGACTATTGATTTTGTGACGATTTGTTACAAGGGTAGGAGGGGGCTTCGATTTTGTGACGCAACATTTTTTTTTTTTTAAAGAAGACTCTTTTAATTAAAAGAATATCTGACCAAATCAAAACCTTCAGTTGATGTATCTACATGTTGATTGTAAAATCAACTACGCTTAAATGTGTACGTTCTGTTAACGGAGTACTTCGATGTGTACACTCTGTTAACGGAGTAGTTACAGTCTGTTAACGGACTGTTACGGCTGTATGTGCAGTGCACATTCTGCGCTTTGAATTTATATGGCTAATGTGCAGAACTTTGTTTAGTTGGTGCACAAAAGTGTGCAGCAACAAAAAAGCAAACTTTGTGCACTAACTAAAAAAAATAATAATCTTGATACCGAGAAGCGAACCTGAACTGGTTTACTAGATGGAAACAGAATCCACTCGACCACGCTTACGTTGCTAGCTGTAACAAAATTGTATTTATAAAATAATGTTTTTGCATGTATAATATATTATTATTTATCATATATTATATATATAATATTTTGCATGTGTTATATATCGGAAGAATAGATTTTTAAAACTACATCATGTAGTATCATGTTTAGGATAGCGATGTTAGTTTATACAATTTTACACGGAACTACTGGGGTGAAAAAAAAACATTAAACAGGCTGAAAAGTACTTATTAATTAACTCAAAGAAGCTCAGAGACTTGCAGGCATGATTATGTTTAAAATCGTTTTGTATTTTGTAAAATTTTTCACCCCCTCCCGTCCCTAAAACTTTTTTAAAAAGTGTAGGGAGGTGATGGAGGGGGGTACAAAATTGTGGTTTCCACCTGAATTTGGTTGCTTTAAAAGCAAAATGCTATAAAACTTTATAACTGTACATTATGCTACCTACACTTTACAAGATTCTGGTGCATGAGTTTTAATTGCTGAGCAATTCGATCTTCCTATTGAAGTCTGAGGAAGCTCAGGATGCACAAAATAAGTCCAAAGAAATGCAAGTCTTAATTACACATGATAATATCTAGAATTAATGTGATGATAATATCTAGAATTAATGTGACGATAATATCTAGAATTAATGTGATTTTGAATGATCCAATTCAAAACAAAAGTAGCATAATTTTTGTTACTTCTTTTATATATATGTATGTATATATATATATATATATATATATATATATATATATATATATATATATATAATACATATATATAAAAGAAAATATATATGTATATATATATATATATATACATATATATATATATATATATATATATATATATATATATATATATATATATATATATATATATATATATATCTGTGTGTGTGTGCTCATTTGATTTATTTGTAAATTTTAACAGTTTTAACAAATTTATGTTTTAGATGTTAGATTTGCATGATGGCAATGGAAAGTTCTCTGCAGAAAGCTATTTATGGAAGTGTTGTTTAATATTATTTGGAATTTATATATTCTTTGCGTTCGAAATAATAATGCAAGCATTTGGGGCTGGTCATTCTCATTCTCATGGTGGTACTTCGACAAATAATGACTCGCAAAGAATAAAAAATGGAGACCTGGAGACATCAACATCTGAAATTGTTAGTTTTTCTTTTCATAAATTTTATAAAACAACTGAAACCCATAAATTTAATTTGTTTATTATTATCTTTTTTATTTTGCTATCATCATTTTTCTTTTTTATACTCAGGCTTTTTGGCCTAAAAAGTAGTATGTAGCATACAATGCTTGATTCTATAGGTTTTAGGTTGAATTTCAAAAGACATGAGACTTTTCTTCAGATTCTATTAATGTGTATATGTACGAGCTGGAATGTGTTGAAAATAATATCCTAAGCGTTCCTTCTTAGTACAAAAATAATATTTCTGAAATCAAGAAAATAGTATTTAAAAAACAATACAATTCTTATTATTTTAGCTTTTTATTAGCTTTTTGTTAAATTATATCTCATTATAAAGATCATAGAAACCAACATGGCCATTCATTGCCTTTTTGTTTAAAATGTGGTTAACTTAATACATAATAATACCTTAATGGTTTGATAATTTTATGGAAAACGTACTACTAGAACTATTTTTTTTTTTGTCTATTACAGGTTTCAAAGTAAAATAAAATGCATAGAAAACAATTCTTTTTTTTAAAGTTAGACAATGAGATCATATATATTATAAAAATTAGTTATAATTAGCACGTATTTAATTAGTTTAAATTCTCATTGAGATGTAAGTGGAAATCGCTTATTTAAGCTTCAATCTGTGGTTTTTGTTAGTCTGTGACGGCATAATACGCCTTTTTAATTGTGTTAACGCACACTCAATTAACTCATTTTGAATGGTCTTTAAAACATATGTGGAATTTTTTGAGACAGAAAGAAAATTCTTCTTTAGAATTCAATTACCTGCATCAACTATAAAGTTTAAAAGCTCAATAAAATTATCCAGCCCTGTAATTTTTGAAGATTCTCTAATTTCTCCTTGATATTAAATAAAAGTATATTATAACAATGCATGCGTAATTCGTCAATAGTATTAGCCACGTATTGAATGATTCTTTAAACAATTTACAAAATGCATATTTGTTAGGTAAATTTGTACCAAAAATGTGACATGAACCATTTTCATTTGTAAAATTACACAGCCAAGAAAAATTATTTACCCATTGTAGCAAAAAATGTCTTTTCCTGCTTTTACCTGTTAAAGAGAATTAGAAGCATTTATCCGAAACCCAGACATAATTAATTAGAGATAACAGTTCATTATCATTTGTTCCTAATTTTAATTTTTCATCATGTAGATTGTATAAAAAAAAATCATAATTTGAATAAGATGTTAACTGATTTGTATTTAATAAACTAACAAACACCTTTGTATTCCTTTAGTGGAACATTAGATTCATAAATGTTTTTATCACTAATGTTGGCGTCTTTGGAGATAATTATTTCAGTTGAACTGTTTTATGTGTGAAAACTAGATTTAGAAACTTTTAAATTTTTTGATACTAAGTAAACTCGCATTGCTCATAATAACAGCTGGTTGTTTTTTACCACAAAATATTTATGGGATAATTTAACTTTTGTATACGAGACTTTATAAGGGTATTAAAATATACCAGAACAGATTCAATAAATTGCTTTATAAAACTAAATGATGCTGTTAGGAAAGTGAAAGATGAAAATGTTTTATCAAAGCAGTTTGAATACGTTTCTTTTAAAAGAAATTTAAAAATCATTTTCTGAATAATTGTTGAAAAACTGTCAAAGCATTTAAACGAAACAGCGATAAAAAGAAATTAGAAAGCTGAGAATATTCAGATTTGTGTTGATTAAAATAACTCCAAAAATAATCATACCTTTTGTAAAAAATTATGTTTTCAAATAACTAAATTCACATCAGTAATCTTAGAATTTTTGAAGTATGCTTACTGTCATTTGAAAATTTTTTGCCGTAAAGGCAATTTTCCATTTTCAGTAGATCTGAGATAAATAGTAAAATATATTAAAATATAATATAAGTATTACATGCTGAAATGTAATATTAATGACAAAAAAAAATTTTTAATGTATAATAATTTTTTTTTTACCAATATTATATTTTAGTATTTACCATAATTTCTTATTAAAAAACTAAATCACTTTTATAGGTTATTTGTATGTTTAATAAATAATTCAATTTCATACACATTATCAAGTATATAAATCTGTTGTAAAATGTGTTAATAATTAGTTAAACAACATTAAATAAAGTTAAATTTTCATAAAGCTCAAAACAAACAAAAAATACCTTAATGCTGCATAACCAAAATTTCTTTTAGTTAAAGGTACATCCATCATATCTGTATTAAATTGGTAAGAATCCTGTGTTCTTGGAAACATCAAATTTGTCTCCGAGAGCTCTTTAATGAGTCTAGTTTTTTAATTTAACACATTAGGCCAATGCTTTGTTTCTATTGCACAAATTGTTAGAAGTAACAAACATATATATATATATATATATATATAATATATATATATATATATATATATATATATATATATATATATATATATATATATATATATATATATATATATATATATATATATATATATATATATATATATATATATATATATATATATATATACTTATATATGTTGTTATACATATATGTATCTATTATGCACACACACACATATATATGGGCATATATATATATATATATATATATATATATATATATATATATATATATATATATATATATATATATATATATATATATATATATATATATGACATATTTAAATTATGGGCTTTGTATATACATAATACATACTTATATATGTATATATACATATATGTATCTATTATGCACACACACACATATATGAGGGCATAAAATGTATATGAACAATAAAAAACGTATATTATGACCTAAAATATACAAAAAAAGTGGTTTTTTAATAACTGAGGGCCCGTAACCATTTTTTACTTTTTCAAGTTTATAAAATCCTACTGCGCTTTTTGTTAAATTATATCTCATTATAAAGATCATAGAAACCAACATGGCCATTCATTGCCTTTTTGTTTAAAATGTGGTTAACTTAATACATAATAATACCTTAATGGTTTGATAATTTTATGGAAAACGTACTACTAGAACTATTTTTTTTTTGTCTATTACAGGTTTCAAAGTAAAATAAAATGCATAGAAAACAATTCTTTTTTTTTATATACATAAATTTTTATATACTTGCGTATGATAACTTTCCGCTTTATTCTAATATAACGTCCGTGATATATATATATATATATATATATATATATATATATATATATATATATATATATATATATATATATATATATATATATGTATATATATATATATATATATGTATATATATATATATATATATATATATATATATATATATATATATATATATATACATATATATATATATATATATATAATTTTATAATATTAATATAAGTTTATAAAATCCTACTGCGCTTGCGTATGATAACTTTCCGCTTTATTCTTATATAACCTCCGTGATATATATATGTATATATATGATGTATTATATATATATACATATATATATATAATACATCATATATATACATATATCCGTGATATATATATGTATATATTATGTATATACAAGGTCATGTGTTTCCCAATATTTTTTTTATAGAAATTGTTTTTAGTCTTTATGCAATTATATATTCAATTTTCCATAATACAGATTATTAAAAGACTGAGGAAAGGAATTTTAATTTAATTTCAAATTTAATTTTTTTGTTTACTGCTTGTATACACAGGAGATTCTACAAATAAAATGGATCCTTAAAAAGTATTAGACTAGCTTCTGAAAAAAAAAAAAAAAAACAGTTCCTCAAAACTAAAATTTACCCAACTGAATTGTGTCAAATTCCCGGCTAACTAAATTTGTATAAAAACTGAATATAACTTTAAAATCACCTTCTTTTTTTTTAGTTTAGTTTTAGTAACTTGAAAATTTAATTCCAAATTATAAAATGCAAAAGTACTTTATTTAAAGCAAATTGAAGTTATTCATATTATAAAGTTAATAAAAACTTTAAACACGTTATACTAAATTATGTTTTATGGTGGTTGTATATTTTTTATATTGAGATACTCTTTTTTTCTTTGCAACAAGATGCTGCATAAAATAATTTCATACATTACTTTCATATTTCATATTCCATATTTCAGATTTCAGATTTCATTATTTATCATACATTCATATTTCATATTTCATATTCATATTTCATATTCATATTTCATGTTCATATTTCATATTCATATTTCATATTCATATTTCTTGTTCATATTTCATATTCATATTCATATTTCATATTCATATTTCATATTCATATTTCATATATTTATATTTCATATTCATATTTCATATATTTATATTTCATATTCATATTTCATATATTTATATTTCATATTCATATTTCATATATTTATATTTCATATTCATATTTCATATATTTATATTTCATATTCATATTTCATATATTTATATTTCTTATTCATATTTCATATATTTATATTTCTTATTCATATTTCATATTTCATATTCATATTTCATATATTTATATTTCATATTCATATTTCATATATTTATATTTTATATTCATATTTCATATTCATATTTCATATTCATATTTCATATTTCATATTCATATTTCATATTCATATTTCATATTCATATTTCATATAATTATATTTCATATTCATATTTCATATATTTATATTTCTTATTCATATTTCATATATTTATATTTCATGCATTAATTTCATTCATTACTTTCATACAGATTTTAGTAAAAACCAACAGAGAAAGTAGACAATGTTAAAGAAAAAACAAACAAATAGTTGCTAGTGTAAATTTTATTTATTTATTCAGTTATAAAATGATTAGGTTTCATATATTTATTACAATATTAGTGTTTTTAAATTAAGAAAAGATTGTTAATTTATTGCAAATTTAGCATAAAAGTTCAAATAATGAGCAAAAGTATTTTAAAAATTGTAAATAAATTACAATTTTTAAAATACT